TAACCTTTTTAATAACCCATCTTTTAGAAGTTTCATTCAATTTTATAGACAAAAAAAAGTATAGCAAACGATATTTTTATTCCAATTTTTCTCATGCATTTTAATGATTTAAAATCTATTAACTTATTTACGGTAATTAAATAATAGCACTAGTAGAAATAATGAAATAAAAACTTCAACCCAGAATAGACAATTATCGAAAATGGACTTAAGTTTCCTATGCAGCAAACAAATTTTGTACCATTATCAACAAGAACCAGTACTTCCTTCATATTCTAACCTCAATATCCTAAAAAAACATCAACTTTACGAAAATAATTTGGCTTACAATGGTGTGTAGAAAAATAAATATAATGTTAATATATAACAATGATGTTAATATGAAATTTTATAATAGATTTTCATTATAAAAATAAAAGACAAAAATATAATGAGAATACTCATGATCAAGGTATAGTTCTTATAATAGTTAATAAATATTGCCATATATTTACTAAAACTAATTGATAAATTTAGATAATCATAATTATCAAAGTAAAGAAGTTGAATTTGATATTAATTGATAAAATTTACAACTTTAGACTTTATTAAATTCTGTTGTTAGAATATTTAGTATTTGGCATTTATAATTTTGATTTTGAATAATTACCATTTCTATTTCTTTTGCTTTTCAAGAAGCTACAATTTTTTTTAAATTCTCTATTTTTGACAAATTGCTATCGAAATAATAATATTTCCAAAGATTTTCTCGTTAAATAATAATCTCCCAGTATATCCTTTATTATATTAGACCTTTCTGTTGGTTGATCACAATGTTGTCACAAGACAATTGTGGACATGAGTTTGGATACTTTTGGACATTTTTGAACAAATAAATAAATTAAAATTACCCAGAATTTTATTGACCTATTTAACATTCTAAATAAAATGTTTAGCACCATAAAAAATATATAATCATATATTTTAAAATTAATATATTAGTGGACGTTTTTGACATTGGACATGACCTAAAAAAGTCTTGAACATAATATACGTGATAACACAAACAACCCTAGCATTCCCCGAAAAATGTACGAATCAGAAAATCTCCAAAATTCGTTTATATGGAGGTTTGTGTTCGTATTAAACTTTGAAAGTAAAAAAAATAGATAGTAAACTTGTACAAGGATTTTTTTTGTTAGAGCACAAAAGGTGGTTTCTTATGCTAATTTTTGACTTTTGAAAAAAAGCACTTTGTTTTGGATCTTCTTGTGATCAGCTATTGGTCGATTGTCACGTGTTCGTACATTTTTCGGGGGAATGCTAGGGTTGTTGTGATAAGAGTATATCAGGGTGGCCCCCCCAAAGTCTGTGTCGATCATCGACGTAGGTATACATGTGTGCCGAAATTCAGAAGGATTTACGGCATTACGGCATGCCGAAATTTTTTATATTTTCGGCATGCCAC